TACTTTTTCTTCATTGTTGTCAACTCGTTCATTCTCAAACATGCACCCCACGTTCTTCCAACGTCTCACCTTTCCAGAAAATTTAGGAAAATTCCACCCCATTTCTCAATACTTCCTGCTTCTCATTGAATCTCTGGGTTCCCCTTCTCATTCAACATTTTTCTCTCCAATTTTATGATTTTTTCCTTCATTTAATTCATATTCATTCATTACGCTTGAATTAGAAAATGGTTCGAGCAATGGAGGAAGATGATCAACCAATGGAACAGCAAAAAACTGGATGGGCATTTACGCGGTCAGAAAATCTCAAATCTTCGATGGGCAGCGATGGAATGAAAGAGAGAGAACATTCAGGCAAGACAATTATAATTTTCGTTTACCAATTTTTAAATGGATTAATTTGTTTTTCCTGATTTTGAGATTTTGATGTTGTCCAGACATTGATAAATTGGAATTAAGATGCTGTATTTTGTTTATAGAAGTTTTTTCATATGAATTTCACGAGGACGATGACAAATAAAACTTTATAATTTCAATATATGAGGTGCTCTACACGAATTTTATCCGTATTTGTTTTAATAGAATAAATTTGAAATAGATATGCTCCTTGAATATGGATCCTCTCTAATAGTTAAAACTTTAAGAGGAGACATAAAATCATGGCTTAACTTTTGAATTCAAATGTTGTTATCAGCAATTGTGATATTGTACATTTAGTGATGAATAAATGAATGTTGATTTGCAAGTAAAAATAATTCACAATACTAAGTTTGTGCTCTCATTTATTTAACATAGGTGGTTCAACATAGATTATGTTGTTTACAAATTTATTTTTTCGATTTTGGCTATAATGTAGATTTGGATCAAATGAAGGAAAAGTTCACAAAATTACTTCTTGGGGAGGATATGTCCGGTGGGGGAAAGGGAGTTTCATCGGCTTTAGCACTGTCGAATGCTATCACAAATTTAGCAGGTACCTGGATTTTGATCATTTCAGTTTACAGAGGATATAATATTGTTCAATCATTTCAACAATACTAAATTCCGATTTTGTTTGTCAATTTCCTTTTGGAGGCAACTTTTGCATAAGAAATTAGTCGAATGACGGATTTCTGAAGTTTTGTTATGTATGTACATATTGCTATAGATTTTGAATGTAGCAAAAAGATTTTTCTGTGTTTTTTCATAATTCTGTCTGTTTATGAGAAAATACAGCCTCTGCATTTGGAGAACAAAAGAGATTGGAACCCATGGCACCAGAGACCAAAGCAAGATGGAGAAAAGAGATCGACTGGCTCCTATCTGTCACAGATCACATTGTTGAATTTGCGCCTTCAAAACAAAGGTCGAAAGATGGAACACAAATGGAGGTAATTTATTTCTTTCTATTGTAATGTTTGCCCAAGGGATATTCATTTGAGGAAGCTTAAGTATGGATGTTTGTGTGTTTATCAATCCATTTTAAAGAAACGTAAGTTCTTAATTCATGATCAGATTATGGTGACAAAGCAACGAACAGATCTCCAAATGAACATCCCTGCCCTACGGAAGCTCGACGCTGTGCTGCTTGTAAGTTAAAAATTTCTTTATTTGTGATTTGTTTCCTGCATTAGAGTTCATTTTGTTTCATTGTTTACTTATTCATATTGTTAATGAAAAGCAGGATTGCCTTGATAACTTTAAAGACCAAAATGAGTTCTACTACGAAAAGAATGCCGATGGGAGGAAAGATGATAAATGGTGGATTCCTACTCCTAAAGTTCCTCCAAATGGCTTAAGTGAGACGACAAGAAAGTGGCTACAATCTCAGAAGGATTCTGTAAGCCAAGTAATCAAAGCAGCTATGGCCATAAACGCTCAGGTCCTGACTGAAATGGAGGTTCCTGAGAGCTATGTAGATACTCTCCCTAAGGTAATAGGAATCCAAAATTAAATCATATGTTGCTAGAAGTCAAGTTTGTAGTATGTTTGAAACACAGTAATAGACAGTGAAATGAACCAGGTTTTAACTTATTTTTTCATGATAGAATGGGAGATCAAGCCTTGGAGATTCAATCTACAAGAGCATCACGGATGAATACTTTGATCCGGACATTTTACTTTCGACTCTGGACTTGTCATCAGAGCATAAAATCCTCGAGTTCAAAAATAAGATTGAGGCATCAGTGATAATCTGGAAAAGGAAAATGAATGCTAAAGATAGCAAATCTTCCTGGAGTTCGGCCGTGAGTTTGGAGAAGAGAGAACTTTTCGAAGACAGAGCAGAGACTATTTTGCTTATTCTTAAGCACCGATTTCCCGGAATTCCACAATCTTCTCTAGACATCAGTAAAATCCAATGCAACAGAGTAAGAACTTCTTCTTTCAACCTCTCACTTGACTCTTTTTACAAGTTTCTTCACCGTTCTGTTAAAGTCACTCCTTCCGCAGAAACTAGCACATAACTTATAGCACACTTGGCGGGGAAAATTGAATTTTGTTGGACAGAACTAAAGACTCAAATCTTGTTCATAATAATGTTCAGACCTGTCTAGTAATGTATACCAAACAGGTACTTAATGTTCATTTTTGCTAAATGTCTGATCTTTTCTCGGTCTGGCAGGATGTGGGACATGCTATTCTTGAAAGCTATTCAAGAATAATTGAAAGCCTAGCGTTCACAGTGTTGTCGAGAATAGAAGATGTCTTACAAGCCGACTCTCTTGCACAGAATCCATCAAATGGAGAACAAAAGAGGTACACCTTAAAAGACCCTTCACCTATTACAGTGAAATTTCCAAATCCTAACGACGAATTAGAGAAAACAAATTCAGATGAAACGCCAACTTCAATGACACTGCTAGACTTTATGGGATGGAATTTAGATCAAGGAGAGACTGATGCAAAGAAAGATGTTGACTCAAAGGTCCTCCCTAAACCGCTAAACATTATGACGAACAAGAAATTTTCCTACATAGAGAGGCTAGAGAACCTAGGGGGTGCAAGAAGTCCAACAGCACGCCATTAATTGATTTTGTTGCAGATGAATAACTGACAGAACTCGACTCTAGCATAAAAGCTCAGCCCTAATGTACGTATGCATTTCGGTCTTGCCATAGAAATCTAGTAAAATTCTAGTGCTAGTTCTGTAACTTGGAAGCATATGCTGAATTATACTCTTGACTTATTTTGAAATTGATCACTTAATTGTACTCGAGTTACTTTAAAATTGAATCAGATACAACAAGAATTGTACTGAAATACTTGTAATATTAAACAGTAAAAGTAGATTCTGATATGCTTACAGGCTGTTGAAATGACACATTGAACACAATAAATTTATAAAGGTTGAAAATGTTATATCTGGGAAATTAGATTTTGCCACGTGGTCCTGGCTTGGGTGGAAGTTGTGGGCCCTTTACAATAGGTAAAACGTCTCCTGTTGCTTTGGAGCTCACATAAGCAATGGTGATGCCAGCTCCCAATATCAAGAACTTCAGCAAAAGACCTCTCTTGGTGAAAGGAGCAGCAAATGTCTCGAAGAACTTGCTCTGTGATCGTAAATGAATGTCAACAACGAAACTACACTATAATACTAGCCCAGCACTGAACTTTTCACGGTCCAGACTGCTCGACCCACTTTGACACTTCCTCTATATTCAAGGTGGAAATATACCTGAAGGGGGTTGTATGGTGAAGGTGCATCTGATCCATACAAGTCCCACTGGCCAGTGGTGTTGCCCAGATCCTCCAAATCAAAGTAAACACTCTTGTCACCATACTTAGCCACCACAGCACCAGCCCTGCAAAACAATAGATTCAACATTATCTAATTTCACATATTCTAGTCAGTTGACATCATGAAATATGCGAATACAATTAATGGAACATAATTGGCTCCTCCCACTCGATATGAATGATGTGGTTTCAATGTGGTATCTAAGCAGACACGAGGCCTGAGTTCAAATTCATATTAATAAACGTGTCTCCTTTCTAATTACTTGGATGTCGTTCAACGCACAGAGTCAAGAATTGTTACCTATAGTTTGTGATCTTGACTTTTAGGGAAGATGGTTTAACATGGAGCTTAGTTCCAGCAATGGAGCTCCCTGCAAGGCCCTTAACACAAGAGGGCTGCACTGCAGTAAAGGTTGCCAAGGATGCCATTGGATATGCTAAAATGTGAAGAACTAAACTAATAAAACTGGCTTGCCACGTGTCATTCTAGGAATTTTTTTTTTTTTTTTTTTTTTTTTG